GAGTTGGACTATTCTAGTTTTCCTGGAGGAGGGAATGTTCAGAATCAGTGTTCCTGAAAGATGTGATAATTGGAAGAAGAAATAGCAGAAATGGCACTAAATCTGTAGATCTAGTAAATTATCTAACTTTGAGGCAGCTTTGCCTATTTGCCTAGCAGTTTGATAATGTTTTTGTCGAAGATTTCATAGGAGGAAAATAAACAATGATTTAAAAATGGAGATGAAGTGTTTTATGACTTTTTATAGTGTAAACTGGAGTTTAGTTTTGTTAAATTATTTTTCAGATGTTCAGTGGAAAGATTTGTGTGTGTGTGTGTGTGTGTGTGTGTAATTTTGTGATTACTGAATTTTAAATTGAACATAACCAGAAAAATACCCACCTCCTCCGCGGTCTATTAAGTGTTTGTACAAAAGAAAATAAAAGATGAAAAAAAACAAGATAAATTTTAACCTTGGTCAGAAATAATGTGATAGAGGAGCCTTTACTTTTGATTGAATTCGAAAGGAGCAACATATATAAACTCTTAAGATTGGAACTGATTTTGAAATGTTGCCACACACAGAATGCCTTCAAGTTTAGGCAGAGAATTCAAGAGTATACATTTCTTTGCTCTTCATTCTAAATTTTTTTTCCCAATTAGAAATATAACCTTTTAATTTTAGAAGTTTAAGATTTACACAGTTACTGTAAAGCTAGTGCAGAGGGTCCCCTGTACACCACATGCAGATTCTCCTGTTAATGAATATCTTATATCTGTTGGTACATTTGTCACAATTAATGAACCAGTACCGATACACTGTTTTTTTCAGGGAAGTCCATGCTTTGTTCATATTTCGTCAGCTTTCCCTAATGTTCCTTCTGCATACCAGGATCCCATTCAGAATACCACATTACATTTACTTGTCATGCCTCCTTAGGCTTCTCTTGGTTGTGACAGGTTCTTGTTCATGGTCTTGATGGTCTTGAGGATTACTGGTTAGGTGTTTTGTAGAATGTCTCAACTGGGATTCATCTTAATGTCTTTCTCATGGTTAGACTAGGATAAATAAGTGGAGAGATATTACAGGCTGGCTCGTGGATTGGAAGACTAAATATTATTGTCAGTTCTTCCAAACTTGAAAGGTAAGTTCAATAAAATCCGAATGAAAATCCCAGTGAGCTGTTTGGAGATATCTACAAACTAATTTGAAAGTTTACGTGGGAAGGCAAAAGATGTTGTGTAGCCAACACAATACTGAAGAACAAAGTTGGAGCACTCACACTACCTGATATCAAGACTTCACTATAAAGCTACAGTAATCAAGACAGTGAGGTGTTAGCACAGGGACCTATATTCAGTTATCTTGTAGTAACCTGTAATGAAAAACAATATGAAAACGAATGTGTGTATATATACATGTATGACTGAAGCATTATGCTGTACATCAGAAATTGATGCAACACTGAAAACTGACTTTATTTCAATAATTTAAAAAAACAGGTTTTGGCAAAAAACTAGACACACAGATCAGTAAAGAACGATCAAAAGAGAGTCCGGAAATAGACCCACATAGTCAACTGATCTTAAAGGAAGACGTTCAATCTAGTGTTTTTTCTGCTTCAAGTCTTAACATAAACTAACAAATAACAAAATCAACCATATCACTGTGATTGAAGTTATACTTTTCTGCATTTGCAAGATTTTTTTCCCCTCATGATTTCAATTTTTGGAACTTTAAAATCACTTAAATATGATTGGTACAGAGGAATTGAGTGAAATCTAGTTTTACCTGTAGACCGTATTTAAGATAGTACAGTTTTTCATTGTTTTATTGGATCATTTTGGAGTAGCTTTAGAAGTAAAAAATAAATGTGACCTCAAAAGAGATGGTGGTGGGTTCAAAAATTAAAACCGCCAAATTAGAAAGCAAGATTTAGACTTTTGTATAGTCTAAATAACTGATCTTAATTCTCCTGAATTACTTTTCCAGAATTTCTTGAGGTTGGCAAAAAGCAGCCTGCTTTGGATGTTCTTTATGATGTTATGAAAAGTAAGAAACACAGAACATGGCAGAAGATACATGAGCCAATTATGTTGAAATACTTGGAACTTTGTGTGGATCTTCGCAAGAGCCACTTGGCTAAAGAAGGATTATACCAGTATAAGAACATCTGTCAACAGGTATGGACAGTTGAGTGTCTTTTTCAAACTCGCTTTTTAAATTATGGAAATAGCATCATTATAGAAAATCGGGAAACATATAAGGGTGCAAAAAACTAAAATCATATATAATCCATCATTGTTGGGTGCATTTTCTATTTTCTTTACATTATGTTAATGCATAGTATTATTTATATATAAAACGTGTTATAATGTGTGTCTATTAATAAGTGCTTCTAATTTACAGAGGAGCTTTCCTCTCAAAGTTAGCATTTTATGTCATAAAATTTGCTTTTACAATACTTTATGATTTGTTAGGAAAAGTGTTTTATTTTTATTTTACTTATTTTTTTGGTTAGGTGAACATCAAATCTCTAGAGGATGTTGTTAGGGCATATTTGAAATTGGCAGAGGAGAAAACTGAAGCTGCTAAAGAAGAATCCCAGCAGATGGTCTTAGATATAGAGGATCTGGATAATATTCAAACCCCTGAGAGGTATGTGGGTTAAATTGCTAAATACATTTTTCTCAGTGTTTTTCTTTACATATGTCTCCATCATCCCCATTTGAAGTAGCTGTTTATTAGAAAGAGTGCTTATCTTTGAAATTTTAAATGTATGATAACCCCCAAAAGTCATGCACTGTTCATAATTCATAGAAGTGGAAAATTACAGCTATTAGATAGGAGGGTGTATGCTAACTTATACAGATTGGAAATTCAAATACTTCGACACTAAGTGATAGCTTTAGTCCAAAGTTGTGTCCAAAGTTGTAGGAAAAATTTGAACTATTTTGTAATGATCATTGTTGGTTTTTGTTTTATAATCAAGTGGCAAAGTAGGAAACCATGTCTAAAATTGTTTTCAATGTTTTAAAATATTTTTGTAGTGTTCTCCTAAGTGCTGTAAGTGGTGAAGACACTCAGGATCGTACTGACAGATTACTTTTAACTCCATGGGTTAAGTTCCTGTGGGAATCATACAGACAGTGTTTGGACCTTCTTCGAAACAATTCTAGAGTGGAGCGTCTCTACCATGATATTGCCCAACAAGGTAAAACAAGAACTGACTTGAAACGTTGACTTAAAGGATAGATTTTGCAAAAGATTAACTGTTAAAGGTAACATTTTCTCCATTGTACTTATTTTACATAGTTTTTATTCTTATTGGAACATGATTAGCATTCATTTGAATATTAAATAACTGATTGTAAGAAATTTGTTTTATTAGTTCTATATGGACTGTATTCCCCTGATGTCTGAAAGACCGTTTAAAGTCATTTTGGAATTTTCCAAGTGACTTAAAGTCATTTTGGAATTTTCCAAGTGACTGAAAGGATAAACTTAACTTTTTGAACTTTTTGATCGCTTTCTGGTAAACTTGAGTTCTACTTTTGACTCCACTGCATATTCTTAGGCAAGATTCTTAACCATACACTGAATTTCTAAGGTCTTTTTAAGCTCCTGAAAACTTACGTAATTCTATGAAAAATACATTTTTCTTTCTTAAATAGTATTACTGTATATAGAACTAAACCTTGATGACTCAGGATCATCATAAAAAGTACTTAGTAGTTAACACTGCGTGCACTTTTAATCTGAAGAACTGTGTTAAGTCTGTTCCTAATCTCGTCTCTTTCCCTTACTGTCACTTATCTTGCTGTCAGTGCAGCCTTTTTTCCCCTCAGCCTTTTAACTATATGTGACTTGAGAGTGGCTCTTGGTTTTTCTTATTTTGGCCTTAGGAACAGACTTGTGTTGCCATTCTTTTTAATATGGGGATAATTGGCATTCACTTATTCAAATTTTAAGTGACTTTGTGACTAACAATATTTTACTTGGAGTCTTAGGATCTGTGTTTTGTTTTGCTCACGTGGCTAGCATATGTGAATTTGCGTTTAACACAAGTAAACTAGGAGGTTTTGGTAACAGTTGAGATAAAGCATAACTTGAAGTTAAACTTCATCCCTTTGTTTTAGACCTTTTGAAGTAGAAATACTCTTTCTTAAGGGAAGGACAAAGGATATCCAGAAATGTTACTCTAGTATTGCATATATGACAGTAGAAAATTACTTTGTATTTTAATGATGGAGCAAGTAGTTCATTTACACTTATATCTGTGTACACAGTTGAAATTAGGTTACCATAAATCCCAAATTTGTGTTTTAGTTTTAATTAGTGCAGAAGCTTTTTGCTTTCTGTGTAAATTAGGTAACAAAGTTCATCGTACTTCAGACCAGAATTTTTTTGTTCTTTTAGGATTTGAAGTGGTAAGTGTTTGAAAAGTGATTCCCTCTTAGACCTAAACTTGAATATCTTCCCATTTATAAACTCTCCCAGAACCATATTTTAGTCCTAGATCAGGACTGATGAAAATGTCTAAAAAGGTGGTAGGGCACATGAAGTGAGTTATGACACAGGTCACTTCTAAAGACTGATGGTGAGTTTGGTAAATCTTGTTGAAATAAAACTTATTCAAATACTTAATTTGATGGTGGAAATTAAATTACCTAATTATTTTACGATTATGCTTACAGCTTTCAAATTCTGCCTCCAATATACCCGTAAGGCTGAATTCCGTAAGCTGTGTGACAATTTGAGAATGCACTTGTCTCAGATTCAACGCCACCATAACCAAAGTACAGCAATCAATCTTAATAATCCAGAGAGCCAGTCCATGCATTTGGAGACCAGGCTTGTTCAGTTGGACAGTGCTATCAGCATGGAATTGTGGCAGGTATGTTGTGAACTATTAGCTTTTATTTGTAGTAGTAACAGCTCATTTTACTGTTTTTTTTCCTTCTTAATAAGTATTTGCATCTGGGTATCTGTTGGTTAATTTCAATAGATGGGTGATGAATTTAAGGTTGTCTGATAGAGTAGGAAGAGTTCTGGATGGGAAATCTCAGGTATTTTGGTTCTAAATGCCTGGTGTCAGTTCTGAGCCAAGTCATGTAATCTTGTTCGGACTTGGTTCATTTTTGGTGCTGAAAGTGTGGCCTTAGTGCCTGGTGATGAAATAAGTATAGACTATGCATGTATGAAATTTTTGAAGTGACAATTTCATGGTAGTTTTGTGTCGGTTTACTCATATTTTAAAAATCTGAGTTTGTCTGTCCGATTTATTTTTGTAGTAATTTTATTGTATTTTATAAAAGTATTGGTGATGACAGGTTAGAAATTACAAAGACAGATTTGCCCCTTACTGCAGATAGTTGGAGAAGTGCTGCACTAGGTTCTGGGTTTCTCAGTGCTGCCTTGGCTTAGTCAGCGTGCACGGCGAGTATCCTACATTGGAGAGCTCAATAGTGTTGGGAATCTTGTCCTCAACGTGGCCTTCTTACTCTAAGAATTCTGCAAAGACATTTTCTTTCGCATGATCTTGTAGTCATAACTTGTTTTTATATATTTGACACCACCCTCCCCAAATCTAATTGAAATTGCAAAGTAAGAAACCAAAAATGGGTAGTTTTTTCAGCCAAGTGAAAATGTGATTTCCTGCTCTCTCCTCCTAATATTTTCCTTTTCTGTAGGGACACCCTTAAAATAGTACTTGATTAACTAAAGAGGAAAAAAAGTTCTGTAGAAGACAAGTAAACATTTAGTATAGGGAAAAAATGGATGAATAAAAGGAAGAAAATAATCCTTCATTATCTTATCACTCAGAAATAACCTCTATATTGTGTTTTATGTTGTTCCAGATTTTTATAATATATTCCCTCAAGTGATCTGATAATACACACCTTGTTTTAGGTTTGTGCAGTTTAAGAAGTTTAAGGATTTTTTTGTTTTGTTTTGTTTTTCTTGTTTTGGTTTGTTTGGATGTGTTTGGGGGGCTAATTAGGTCCATTTATTTTTTGATGAAGGTACTGGGGATTGAATCCAGGAACTTGTGCATGCTAAGCATGCACTCTACCACTGAGGGCGCCCCCCCACCCAGGATTTAGTTTTTTTGTAGTTGTGACGTTTTTCTGAACTATATCAGATAATAAATTAAAAGATGAATAAAAATAATCACACATGAAGGCATTTTATTTGCCTCGTTTGTTCTTAAGTGTTCTGTGTTTTAAGTTTCATAAAGAGATTTGAGTTAGATATTTTTTGTTGTTGTTTAGTATGCACTGACTATAATTTATACCACTAATTTTAGGAAGCATTCAAAGCTGTGGAAGATATTCATGGGCTATTCTCCTTGTCTAAAAAACCACCCAAACCTCAGTTGATGGCAAATTACTATAACAAAGTCTCAACTGTGTTTTGGAAATCTGGAAATGCTCTTTTTCATGCATCTACGCTCCATCGTCTTTACCATCTATCTAGAGAAATGAGAAAGAATCTTACACAAGAAGAGATGCAAAGGTAAGAATGTTACCGGTGAATAGTATTGAAATTATGAAAGGAATATCTTATAAGTGGCATGGTAGTGTTTTCTAGGTTGGGGTTTCTCAATCTCTGCACTACTGATGTTTGGGGCTAGTTAAATCTTTGTTGTGGGGGATTGTACATTTAGGGTCTTGAGCAGCATCCCTGGTTTACCCACTGGATACCATTAGCAATCTCTCTAGTTGTAACTACCAAAAGTGTCTCCAGGCATTGTTCTTGGGCAGTAGTCTTCGTCTTCAGTAGCTGTCTTTTATCTGATAACCAACTCTCCAGTTGAGAAAATGGAATATTAAAGACAGTGTTAAGGTATGAGCTTTCTATCCACATACAGGTATTTAGAATCTAAGAGCTAATTAGACGAAAAAATGAATACTTCTATCAAGTAACTTTTCCCTAACTATAGAGTATTTGGTGTGTGCATTTTTTATATACATGTAGTCTACAACCTAATAATCTAAAGACCATTTTATTTTTTAACATTGCATACTTTTCTTTCAGTTATGTTTGGTTTTTATTACACATTTCAGTTGGACTTAGGTAACTCACATACCATCTCTTATTGGTAGACCATGTTATTTTGGCCTCTAGTAGAATTATGTACACCAAATTGTAGCTTTACAGCAATGCATGGAACCAACTAAATGAATTTTTCTGGTATATATTTTTTGAAACTTTGTGTATATATATATATGTATTTATTGAAGTGTAGTCAGTTCACAATGTTGTGTGAATCTCTCGTATACAGCATAATGCTTCAGTCATACGTGAACATACATATATTTGTTTTCACATTCTTCTTCACAGGTTACCACAAGATACTGAATATAGTTCCCTGTGTTATACAGTATGAATTTGCTATCGATCTATTTTATATATATTAGTATCTGCAAATCTCGATTCCTGATTTATCCCTTCTCACCCCCCACCCCGTAACCATAAGCTTGTTTTCTTTGTCTGTGAATCTGTTTCTGTTTCGTAAAGTAAGTTCATTTGTCTTTTTTTTTTTTAGATTCCACATAAGTGATATCATATGGTATTTTTCTTTCTTTTTCTGGCTTACTTTACTTAGAATGACAATCTCCAACTCCATCCATGTTGCTACAGATGGCACTATTTCATTATTTTTTATGGCTGAGTTATTTTTTGAAACTCTTGAGGACAGTGCTCATTAGGTCATTCACTACCTCTTACGTAATCCATGTCTGTTTAGGATATGAAAAACTTGATTTTCTTCAAAGTGTTTTTATGCTCTCCCATTACTACTGTGAGAGTACCGTCATAATCGTTATTGCTCTGTGTGTGTTGTTTTCCTTAATCTTTACAACAATCTCGTGACTCAGAAAATTAAGTATCTTGCCTCTAAGGTCCCAGCCTTGGAAATGGTGAAGCTCAGATTCTTTCCCTTGGCTCTTCGGCTCCAGAGCCCACAATCCTTAGTGTCCTCTGGTGCTCTAAGTTCAACCTGACTTCTCTTTTGTTTTACGGAAGATAAAATTTAGCTTTTGGCCCGCGTCTCCCATAATTGTGTTCACTTATGTTCTTTGTAATTTTCCCCCTTTCTTATTGTCATTTTCCTTAGTTTTAAAAGCTACCTTAATTGTTTCTGTAAGGAAGTGTAGGGTATACAGATGTGTCTTCTGCCTTTTTAACCTCTAGTCTTTTTCTGTAGCTAGACAACATTGACCACACTAAGTGGGTAGATGAAGTATTCCTTTTAGCATAGCTCTAAAGAAAGACAGAAATTAAATTAAGTAAAGGAATACAATTTAATTAAAGAAATTAAAGTAATCTTTTCATTAATCCTGTGCTTTGACGAATAATATTTATGAGTCCAGGTCCCCGTGGTGGTGTGCGTGTTCTGTCATTGGCATATTTTACTAGGTGATTAAAGAGAAATGTCTTTCTGCTTATCGAGTAACATTTATAGATTTAACAGATTGTAACTTTATTCTCCAGAATGTCTACTAGAGTTCTTCTGGCCACTCTTTCCATCCCTATCACCCCTGAACGTACTGACATTGCTCGACTTTTGGATATGGACGGCATTATAGTTGAAAAACAGCGTCGCCTGGCAACACTGCTAGGCCTGCAGGCTCCACCAACGCGGATTGGCCTTATTAATGACATGGTTGGTATAAGTTTAGTATTCTGATGGCTTTAAACAGAAAGCTGTCTGGTTAGGTTTTATAATTTATGATGACATGCTGGAAATTCCGTTGCACTGCCAGGGCTTTCTGATGCACGGGCAAGTTTGAGAACCACTGGTGTAAGTCAGCATCGTATTCAGTTGAGGTGATTCATCTCAGCTGGAGTTAAATTTGATGATGAGACTTGGACTAGTCAGAGGAGTAGTGAGAGTGGAAGTAACGATGGGCAGGAAGGTTCATGGCTTGTTTCAGGGGCTGTAGGAAAACACCAAGCTGACAGGTATTACTCGGATACGGCTAGGGAGGAATGTAAAGTAGATTAAGCCCAATTCTGGACAGCTGAATACTTCCAACTTTTTTCTCTTTTAAACTTTCATTGTCTGTTGCTAAGGCATTGGTTTTTAATCAGGGCTGTGCACTGAAATTGTGTGTGAAGTGCTTTTTAAAATGCACTTTTCTATGTTTTACCCACTGTATATACTAATTTTCAAAATATGGAACCTAAGGTTTATGTATCTTCA